CACTCGTATGGTAGAGAGGCATGGCTCTGGGTCACAGTGAGCACTACATATGAAGTAGAAACAACAGCCAAGTAAAAATTCCCGTCACAATGTGCGCATCAGCTTCCTAGAGTTGGAGCAGTTAAACACATCTCCCAACTAAATGAGGCTGTCAGTCAGGCCTCTGTAGGCGAGGCATAAGCTTGGCTCTCACAGACTCGAGAGGAGCAGACTCTAAAGATCTGGCTCACGGGTGCACAGTAAAGAAGGTCCAGACCCCCCCCCCGAAATCTTAGCAGGGTACAATGTGTTAAAAAAATGTGTGTAGGCATGTAAGAAAAGAAAACTGGTATACACAGTCATAGGAAAAATAAATTGTTTAAAAAAATAAATCCTTTAGAGAAAGGATAAAGTAACATAAAGAAAAAAAAAAAAACAGGTAAAGATGGGAAACACACAAGGAGTCTCTGGATCATGTATGTTGCTGTGTTGACTTCGAATGTTTTGAATGCTGATGAATGAACTCTGAGTTCGAGGCCAGTCTTGTCTACAAGTGCTAGTTCCAGGACAGCCTCCAAAGCCACAGAGGAACCCTGCCTTGAAAAAACAAAACAACAACAACAACAAAAAAGCAACAGAATTCAGAAAATGTATCGCATTGGCAGGAAGGTTATGCTTTTGTTTCCATTGGAAATGAAAGGGCTGTAGATTCTTTCAAGGTTAATACAGATCAGGCTTGATCAGGGGAAACGTCCTGAAAATCGTGGCTACAGACATAATGAAATAAACCAAGAAAAATTACAAGATGGGTGACATATATGTTGATCCCTCTGCATGGGAACAGTTTTGAGACTGGGCAACAAATGTTAAAACCAGTTTTCTCGGGACCCCCTAAAGATGCCATCACCCCAGACAACAGAAAGCAGTTTAAGGAACACAACACCCACATTCCCAAAAGGATGGGTGGTTTTTTGGTTATTTGGTGGGTTACAGATGTTTGTCATCATTTGGTGCTGTGGGAGGGATATAGGAATATAGGATAAAAAGACAACTATTAGTCTCAAATATTTTACATTGGTATGGATTTTGGTATATTGATACAAATTCAAAAGTTATTTTTTATAATGTTTGCATGTTTCTACTCTTGTTTGAGGTACTATGCTTATGTAGCTCATTAAAATGTAAAGTATAATTAATATAGATTGGAAGTTAGTCATCTATAATAATCAGACTTGTAGACATATTAGGTATGTTTTCAAGGTTAAACAGATATGTTTTCGATAGATGATTTTCAAACATTTCAGAAACCTACAGAAAACAGCATTTAAGATGCTTAGTAACTAAGGCTTTTCATGACAGCAAGACATGTCTGCTTCTGGCAGCACAAAACTACTTCATAAAAGGATAATGGACATCATAGAACCTCTATATGGAGTTTACTTTCACTGTGGCAAAGCTAGCCATTTGGGCAAGAATCTGTCCTTGCCTTGACAGCAGAGAATTTACCAACCAAACTGGACATGCAGGACACAAGGCAAGTGACTGCCGAACTTTGTCAAGACAAAGTGGGATACTCTTTCAAAATTCTTGCTTCACAGAAAAGTCTGTCAGATATTCTAGGCCTGAGCCGGGCGTTGGTGGCGCCCGCCTTTAATCCCAGCACTCTCGAGGCAGAGGCAGGCGGATCTCTGTGATTTCGAGGCCAGCCTGGTCTACAAGAGCTAGTTCCAGGACAACCTCCAAAGCCACAGAGAAACCCTGCCTCGAAAATCAAAAAAACAAAAACAGATATTCTAGGCCTGTAGGCTGAAGATGGATGCCCGAATGTTGCAGAGGAATCTTGGATGACTGTCCAAGCAGCCAGATGTCTCTGCTATTTTTCCAGTTTTGGAAGTGGCTTGCACTGCACATCCTGTTTGTGCAGGTAATATTATATCCTTCTGGAGTCTTTGATGGAGTTGAAGACTGGAAAGGTATAGTTGCAGTTTTCCTTAGTTATGATAGGAGGTAAATTTGGACTCTCCAGGCGGTGGTGGCACACACCTTTAATCCCAGCACTTGGGAGGCAGAGGCAGGTGGATCTCTGTGAGTTCAAGACCAGCCTGGTCTACAAGAGCTAGTTCCAGGACAACCTCCAAAGCCACAGAGAAACCCTGTCTCGAAAAATCAAAAAGAAAAGAAAAGTTTGGACCAAAAAAGGATGAGTATTTTCTCTGAGATGGCCAAAAACAAATGGATTGGATAATGTAAATATAATTTTTATTGATAATTATTCTTATTGTATAGAGTCTTACTATATTAAAGTTAAAATATTTCCTTTTTATTTAGACAAAAGGGGGAAATTTTCTGGAATAGAATATCTGTTTAACTATGTGCTGCATTTGTTTGTGTTGCAGAATAAATTGTTTCACTATGTAAGAATATGTTGCATTTTATTGTATTGCAGAATAATTGTCTCACTTTGTAAAGATGTATTACTTTTGTTTACACTGCATTTGTTTAGCTATGTAAAGATGTGTTGCTCTTTCACCCTGCCTGCCTAAGACACCTGATTGGTTCAATAAAAAGTTGAATGGCCAATAGATAGGCAGAGGAGGGATAGGCAGTAGGCAAAGAGAAAAGAGGAGCCAATCAGCCAGGAGCCAGCTTGTCAGCCATGGAAGAAACAAGAAAGTAGGACACACATAATGAAAGAAAGGTAAAAAGCCAAGGCAAACACAGATGAAGAGAAACTAGTTAAATTAAGTTATAAGACATAGTGGGATAAGTATAAGATACAGCTGAGCATTCAGAATTAATAATAAGACTCCATGTTATAATTTGGGGGCTGACAGTCTGAGATTGCGTGATCCACTGAAGACAGGGTTTGCTAGCTTCTAATGAGACGGACAAGTCATATGGCGCTGTTCTAGAGAACCATGCTTGCCTATGTGGCAGTGGTAATGACCACAGACGGGATGAAGTGAGGCAGAGGTGCTCTACCAATGGCTTCAAGGACACTAACGTGGTTACTGTGGCCTTTCCCACCTCAATTCTTCTGTGTTTCATTATATCCTGTGCTCTGTTGCAGTAATCCTCTAGTAACTTCTACTTAGGCTTGTGCTAAATTGAATCACAACTTTCCTTCCCATTAAAATAGATTTCACTCATGCACGCCTTTAATCCCAGCACTTGGGAGGCAAAGGCAGGCTGCTCACTATGAGTTCAAGACCAGCCTGGTCCACAGAGTGAGTTCTAGGACAGCCAGGGTTGGTACACAGAGAAACTCTTTCTTGAAAAACAAAAATAAATAATAATAGATTTTACTATTACAAGCTTTCAAGAAATCCTAGCTATATCTGGAGGTCAAAAAGAATATGGAGAAACAGAGAAAGGGTGTCTACGAGGAAAGGAAAACATAACACAATGTTGAGGGAACCACAGAAACAAAGAACTGTACAAAATAAGAAATAGTATGGAGAAGGCCAAGGGATAGAGCAATAGAAAAGAGTTAGAAATGGTGCTAGGTCTGCTGAGTAGAAATGTACAGTGTGAAAGACTTCAAGTTAGAACAAGAAACAATTCAGTAATGGTCAAAGCTGTACCGTAATGTAAGGTAGTACAGTCTCATGTACAAAAATCACATTAAAAGTAAGGTACAGACAAACTGGACTCGGAAGCAATAGGAAGAATACTCTGGACATGACATGGGTTCTAGTCTTTTGTGGGGCCTGAGTTGCTCTCCAAATCCTACACATTAGACATTATGAAACACTATAGTCAGTTGTTTCTCCAATGAAAGCGCATGAGAAAACACCAAAGTAGGGCCCGGAGGGTATTGATAGTATTGTTCCGGCATTGATGAAGGTCAAATGCATGATATGAAAACTAATGGTCTTTGCACTTCATTTGTAGTTCTGAAATGTTCACATCTACAAATAGGTGCTAAAATGCGATAGCCTCACAGGGATAATATAGAACAAACAGGCTCACAGGACCAATTCTTTGCAGGTAAAAAAAAAATTCTGGAGTCCCCTGATCCACAGGTAAATGAATCTGCAAACAATAAAATGAACAAAACAAAATAGGAAACCTTCTCCATCTGATGGGCACTGTGGAAGCTGTAATTTCACAGGCAGAATTTCAGCTTCTTGGTGCTTAAAGAGTCATCAGAAGGTCACCACTCCAATCTAAAGAGTGAATGCTAGCATACACTTTAGTACCAATATAGCTCTGAATGAAGAGACATACATTTTTTGATAGTCTCATCTTGCTGCCAAGGTCTGAGCTCAATCCCAGGGACCCACATGGTGGAAGAATAGAACCAACTCTGACCTCTACATAGTGCTGTAGCTCATACACGCCCACACAAATAAATAAACATGTAAAAAGTTTTTAAACGAGATGTGAATGATACATTTAGGGCGTCTTGAGGAGTTGTTGCTAGTTTCACAAGTATGGACTCGGGGACTCAAGAAAGAACCTTTGGTTCTCACAGAGACAGTAGTCAAATCAGAAGACACAATGTGTTAACAGTTGTAACCTTTATGATTGAAAGAGGTAAACTAAACTCAAAGGCTTCACTTCTAATAAATCACATTGGGGAGAAATTGTATGAATGTGGCAAAGCCTTAAGTTCCCATGCAACTCTTACTATTCATACTAGAGAGAAACTATATAAATGGAAAGGTTATGGAAAAGCCTTCAAAACAAATCCAGTCCCCTAGGCTCCTGTGTTGTGAACAAAACTACAAGACAACCTTCCTCTTAGGCTCAGTAAGTATCTAGACATTGTGTTTAGCAACAAACCACCTCCAAGAGACAGAAAAACCACAGAATGCTCCCTCCCAACAACAACCAATGAGAACAGGCTATCTGCAAGTAACAGACAAAGCCATAGAAACCATGGATGCTCCCATTTGTAGCCAACCAATCAAAAATACTAACAAACCAGTTGCCCTGACTCTGGGAAATTCCCCTAATTGTTCCCCAAATGTCAACCAATTAGGAACCAACCCATACCTAGTGATGTAATTTTGTGATTTTTTTTTCCTTTAAAATTCTGGCAATAGACAAGGGACTTCACTTCCTCCAGGTAGCTGTTGCATCAGAGTCCCCACCGGTAGGATTAAACAATAAAGTCTTTCGTTTGCAGTTTGCTGAAGTCTGTCTCCCTGGTGGTCTCTGAAGGTCTTCGAGACTTGGGCACAACAATGATAAACACAAAAAAAGACTCCAAGATTTATTCTGTGCTTATTTTTGTGATATGGAAAAAGTTGTAAAAGCTCTTTTTGATAAATAGGATGAGAATGTTCAAAAATGCACAGCTATGTTCAAGATCTATTTATGTCAAATCTGGTCAGAAATTCTGGAGGAAGTGACAGTGATGGAATTAAATGTCAATGTGATGAAACAGACCTGCCAGGAGACTGAGTACAGTACACCTCTGAGTGTGTCTATGATGATTTTTTTTTTCAGAGAAGATTAACAAAAGGTAAGGCACATCTAGAATAAATAGGGGCAATACTATCCCATTGGCTGGGGAATTCAGACAGAATGAAAGAAAAGTGGAGAGAGCTTCACATAAACAGGCATCCTCTTTGCTGGATACCACGTGAACTACTGCACTCTACCACAGTCTTTCTTGCAGGATGTACTAAAGTTGAAATCATGATCAGAACAAATCCTTCCTCCCTCAAGCTGTATGTTACCTTTGCTTGCTCACAGTAACTCTAAAGTCTGACAACACCTCTTGGTGAGGTAGTGTGGCAACCACAGTTTGCACATTCCTAGAACATGTGGCTTCACTTAAAGTGGATCTCACATCCCAGCAGGGACCTAGGGAGATGATTGCCAAATTTTGTTCAGCCCTTAGGCACAGATCCAAGGACTCTGGGCTGGCCTATTAATTTGTTACAGGGAATTCTTATCAACTGTGTGCTTTTTAAAAAGTTTTATTTTATTTATCTGTCTTATGTATGTGTGTGTATGCCTGTGTGGAAGTCAGAAGACAACTTCTGGGAGTCAGCTTTCCTTTCACAATGTGGATCTGGAAGACTGAATTCAAGATATATATCAGCACACACCTTCACCCACTGATCTCCTCCTGGCCCAAACTTTGTGTTTTCGTATAAAAATAAACTACACTGTTCATTAACTCAACTGATATTTGCTGGTGATCACTTCATGCTTGAATGGGGCTGTTTTAGGTGTACAGAAAAAAAAAATCCCCTCCCATGCTCTGTAGAAGCAAATAGTTCCAAAGATTAAAAAGTGTACCAAAGCTAGGCAGTGGTATCACACGCCTTTAATTCAGCACTCAGGAGACAGAGACAAGTGGATCTCTGTAAGTTTGAGGCCAGCCTGGTCGATAGAGAAGTTCCAAGACAATCAAGGATACACAGAGGAACTCTGTCTCAAAAACAACAACAACAAAAAACAGTGTAGCAAAGTATTAGAGGTATAATGCTAGCAACACTACAGGATACAGAAGTTATGCTGGCCTATGAGACTAAACTGCAAGCAGTGTAAAGCAGCAGGAGAAACTGTACGTATTTCCTAGGCTGGTGATGCAGGAAGTCTCCTAAGTAGAAGACTCATGGGCAAAACATATGACAACCGTGGTGGTTGTCTCTGTCTCTCTGTCTCTGCCTGCAGCTCTCAGCTACTGCTCCAATACCATGAACCCTGCCATAATAATGGATTTAAATCTCTGAACTGTAGCGAGCACCCAACTAAATGCTTTCTCTTTTACAAGTTGCTTTGGTCATTGTGTCTCTTCATAGCAACAGAGCAGTGACTAAGATGGCAATGTAAAGGTACTTTATAGAGTATGGAGTAAGGCATAAATTAGTTTGTGACAGGGTCTCATGTCCTAAGCTGGCCACAAACTCCCAATATAGGCTTTTAGTTTGTTTGCTTAGTTTTGTTTTTTGAGACAGGATTTCTATGTGTAGCTTTGGAGCCTGTCCTGTCCTGTCCTGTCTTGAAACTCACTCTAGTCTAAGCTGGCCTTGAACTCACAGAGATCCAGCTGTCTCTGTCTCCTGAGTGCTGGAATTAAAGGCGTGTGACACCATTGCCTGACTTTGGCTCCCAATAAAGTTATGGATGACCTTGAACTCATCCTCCTGCCTTCAGAGTACCAAGGCCTAGATGGGTCACCTCATCTAGTTAACACAGTGCTGAACACTCTTATCTCCAGCTCCCATCAGAGGTTTTCCACTTCAGGAAGTGTGGCTGGGATTTAGGGAGGGTAGAAGACAGCCTCACTTACTACTTCGACAACTGTCAGGTACTTTGATGGGAGTGGCTCTAAGAAGTTATATTCTGTGCCCATGGGCCATCTGTCCTGGGAGAATGTTCCACATAGAAGTGAGGTGAGCTTATTGTTGTGGCCACCACCTTGTGTGAAAGAGAAATATATAATATATAAGTATCTAGACTTTTTTGGCAGTTGAAAGTAAGTTTCTTTTATTTTTTTGGACAAGCTATGATTGCTTTACTAAAATTGTTGTATTTTTACTTCTGTCTACATTGTAAGAGTGGATGACTAAAGTCATAGAATGCTTTTGGATAGACTTTTAAGGCTCTCTTGATTTCAATTTCATTTTATGATTACTATTCAGTAAAACTAAGTTTTGAAGAGACACAGAAGGAGAGGGGCACAGTGATCTAAGAATACAAATTTGTGTCTGTCATCACAACCACAGTCAAGACAGAGAATGGTTTCTTTAGTCCCCACCCCTGGCCATGTTGTTCCTTCTTTCCAGCCATAGTGCCACTTTGCTTTCAGTCCCTACCATCCCCCAATCTGTTCTCTATTACTCTGATATATTACCAATGGAGATGTCATACAGATGGACTAACACTATGGAAACTTTTTAAAATCATGACTCAACAGCTTATCTTTTTATTTTTATTTTGCTATGAGCTATATCAAACTCAGGGACTCATGCACAGCAGACAAGTACTGTCAGCGTCCTCCATCTCTAAACCTAGCTTATGTTTTCACAACTGAGCAGTTTCCATCAAATGTTTGCCAAGTCATTTACTTTTTTTTTTTTTTTTTTTTTTTTTTTTTTGGTTTTTCGAGACAGGGTTTCTCTGTGGCTTTGGAAGCTGTGCTGGAACTCGCTCTGTAGACCAGGCTGGCCTCGAACTCACAGAGATCCGCCTGCCTCTGCCTCCTGAGTGCTGGGATTAAAGGTGTGCGCCACCAACGCCCAGCTGAGTCATTTACTTCTTTAAGACTATTTGTGTTCTTTACATCTGAGGTGGGTAGGAATGAGGCTGCTATAAACACTCAGGCACAAACCACTAAGAATGGAATTGGTATCACGTGGGAAGTGCAAGTTTAACTGTTAAGAACCTGTCAAACTATTACATGTAGACCACATCATTTGCAACTTTACTTTTCTGTTGAGACAGAGTTTCCTCTGTGAGACAGCTCTGGCTGTCCTGGAATTCACTCTGTACACCAGTCTGGTATATGAACTCAGAGATCTGCCTGCCACTGCCTCCCAAGTGCTGGGACTAAAGGCACATGCCACCATCACCCAGCTGCATTTTGCTCTTAATATATATGTATCTACACACACATACAGAGTTTCAGCCATTTCATATTTTTGTCACTGCCTGATACTGTCATTTTAAAGTAATTCTAATGTAGTTTAATTTGTATTTCTCTAACATTAATTATGTTTAATATGTCTTTGTGATGTTCAGTTGCTACCCATATTCTTTTTTTTTTTTTTTCATTTCTTTTCTTTTTTTGGTTTTTAGAGACAACCTCTGTATTGCTTTTGGGTTGTCCTGGAACTCACTCTGTAGACCAGGCTGGCCTTGAACTCACAGAGATCTGCCTGCCTCTGCCTCCTGAGTGTTAGGATTAAAGGCGTGAGCCACCACCACCCGGCCATATTATCTTTAGAGACATGTTAATTTAAATTGTTTTTTTTTTCCTTTTTTTGCTCAGCACATCTGTTATTATTGAGATAGGGTCTTGTTAGGCTGGCTTTGATGATCCTCCTACTTTAGCCTCCTTAGTGATGGTATTGAAAGCTATTTGTGAATTCTAAATACAGGTCTTTAACTAAAAAGCATTGTTTTTAAAAAAAATCTCTATATTTTAGGCTGGAGAGATGGCTCAGAGGTTAAGAGCACTGACTGCTCTTCCAGAGGTCCTGAGTTCAATTCCCAGCAATCACATGGTGGCTCACAACCATCCAAAATGAGATCTGGTGCCTTCTTCTGGTATGCAGATATACATGGAGGCAGGATGTTGTATTCATAATAAATGAATCTTTTTAAATTTTTCTATATTTTATCTTACGTATATGAGTGCTTGCCTGAATATAAATGAATCATGTGCATGCCTAGTGCTCTTGGAGGTCAGAAGAGGGCATCAGATTCCCTGGAGTTATGAATAGTTCTGAGCTATCACATGGGTGCTGGGAACCAAATGCTGGTCCTCTACAAGAGCAGCAAGTGCTCTTAACCATTGAGTCATATCTTCAGTCCCTGAGCAAGATTTCTAACTTCTAGTTATTGAAGTGGCTTCTTATGCCTTACACCCTATACTTCAGTGCTCTCCTCCCTCCCTCCCTTCCACTCCCTCTCTCTGTGTAGCTTTGGAGCCTGTCCCTCTATAGAACAGCCTGGCCTTCAACTCACTGAGATCTGACTGCCTCTGACTCCTTAGTGCTGGGATTAAAGACATTCGACACCACCACCCAGATTCAGCTCTCTTCTTAATAGTCAAGATGATCTCTATGACTAGACCTACTCCCCAATTCTATAGTCCTTTGTGGGACTTTAAAATGTTAAGCAACTGAACTGATGTATTGTGATAGTCTTCTGTAACCCTCTTCATAGACTAACCTGCTTCAGAAAGTGGGTGAAGAGAAAGATTATTTCCAGTGTGTGACACAGTGAGTAGGGAAGTGTAGAATTAAGTGAGGTCAGACAATCAGACTGGAGTTTAATCATACAGGGCTATGTATACATAATCTACACTTAATTTCATTTTATGTTCTGGAAGTAGTGATTTTGTTTTAAGCAAAAAAGAATGTCAAGATTCCTCTGATTATATGGTAGGACTGAAAAACAGAGAATAGGGAACCTATGAGGAGGAGGTAGACATTAGGTGAAATGTGGTCATCTAAGTGACATATAGGGCTATCTCAAGCTACATGGTTAGGACACCAGGTAGATTTGAGATCTATTTTGGTGGAAGAACTGATAAAGCTAGATAATGAAATACAAAAGAATGTAAAATTATGACATAACTCCCCGATTTTAAACAACTAAAGGATTTTGAATGTTTACCAAGACAAGGGAAGATTACTTAGGAAATATGTTGACATGACTAACGTCAGAGTCTAGAGTTCTGTTTGACTTTTGATAAGTTTGAGATGCCCATGAGAAAGCTAAACAAAATATTGGGAGAGTTTAGACCCAAAAGCCTGAAGCTCAAGAGAGGTTCCTGGTTAAAGATACACTAAGTGTAGTAATCTCAATATAGATAAAAGACTAAAGTCAACAAAAGAGAAAACACTAGCTGAGAAGAGGTTAAAGGACTGACTCCGGGGAACTTGCCAACATTTATGAGAAACTGAGAACTGAGAAACTGTTGATTCAAAAAAAAAGAAAAAAAAAAAAAACCAGGTTTCTTTGTGGGGGTAGCTCAGTAGGTAGAATGCTTGCTTAGCATGAATGAAACCTTAGGCTCAATCCCCAGCCCCACATAATCCTCATATGGTGGCTCCAGCACTCAAGAGGCAGAGGTAAGAGGATCATAACTTCACAATAACTCTTCCTGTAAGGGAGTTTGAGGTCAGCTTGGGCTACAACACCCTATCATGAGTGGGGCAGGAGTGAGAGTCAAGGGGAAAAGTACCACAAAAAGGAGACAATTCAAAGCCAAATATTTAGATGGTTACAAGAAAGAAGTTCAAGACCACCCTAGGCTACAGAATAAAATCACAAGACCAGTTTGTACAATGTATTATGGCCTGTGTCAAAATAAAAAAGTAAAATTAGGATCTTAGGCTTATTATATTCCTCACCAACTTTTCACTATAGAAGTATGTTATATAGTCTACGGGCTTCTATTAATAGCCCAAAGCTAAGCAGGGTGTTGGTGGCTCACACCTTTAATC